GGCAGTAAGAATGATCGCCGAGCAGCGATCGCCCTCGCTGCGTGTCGAGATGCTCTGAACACATAGGCGGCGCTATACGATGGGCTCCGCGCCCCCTGGCGCCAGTGGACGTGATCACAAATCAGGACTTCGGCAAGTCTAACGCAGCCCAGCTCGAGCTCCTCCGCTCAGGTCTGATGCAGATCACTTCCGGGAGCAGGGTGCTGGAATCCCGTCGCCAGGGCCCCTTCGAGAAGTGTCGTTCGCGAGCGGCCTCTGTTCGAAGGCTGACCGAAGGGGCCCGAGAGCGATGCGAGGGCTGTTTCGTCGTCGTTGGTCGTCGTCGTTCCTTCTTCTTCTTCAGCTGTAGCTCCATCCATGGGCGGAAGCCTCCGATGTACAGAATTTCGCAGATATTTCAATCCGCGCACCAAGGCCAAGATCCTGAGAATTTCCCGTCGGCGCGCGTTGCAGCGCATGGTGCTCTTAGTGAGAGCTTCAAGCTCGGAGGGTTGTGAATTTCTGATATGGATGAGGATACGATCCGGGGTGATCTTGAATTCGTCACGGGTTCAGTTCAGCGTTTCCACGTGCGTATCCGCAAGCACCCTCTTGGCCCGAGATTCGTGCGTTCGTGAGAAGGAAAACTTGTTTTCCCTACCATCATTCGAGCCGTTTCTTTGATGTTCGCGCGTCAGTAACGATGATTAGCGGCGTTGAAGTCCCGCGAATTGTATTTACTCGGTGCAGCTCAGGATTCCCAACCGGTCGTTTGTAAACGGGGAACTTCTTTTACTGGGAATGAACTTTTGCTGGGGCCTATGAGGAGGGAATTTGGAGGGAGGGTTGATTGCACTATCGTTGATGCGTCTTGGGTTTGCACTGGTCTTTTTGCTCCTCCTCGCCCCCCTCGTCTTCCTTGTCGGCATTAGCGGCCCGAGATCACGAGCGACGATACGGAGTACCAGAAGTTTACCCCATTGAATTATATCGGACCTCCGAGCATGTCAAGTTGATGGCAGGGGGTGGCGGGGCTCCCAGCTTCTGCACATTGCGCTTTCCAGTCCAGGATTTGTCTCCCAGCGTGCCCAAAGGAAGATGCGAGTAAACCGCACACATGCCACACACACGCACATAAGCAGAATTTGCAATTGATGGCGTAATCAATGTTGTAGCCCCGCCGCGGCTTGGAACCCTTGCCCTTAGAGCCAGTAAGGCTTGAGGGTGCGAGCTCTTTTCCCGGGGCGGGCCCTGGACACAGCAAGGCACGAGGGTTGATCTCCCCGGGGCCCAGGGACAGTTTGAATCAGATGAAGGCGTAGACCAGGAGTCCGCATATATAAGCATGTTCACATTGGGAGGTGACATGTGTTGGTCGGGCAACACATTACGTTTCACGTCGTGCCGCTCGCACCGATGTGGAAACCGGAGGTTGTCATGTGATGTCATTCGAAGATTATATGTTTTGCGGCGGTCGCAAATAACTTGGTTCGCATGTTGGCATTCAGTAATAAGCCTTAGGATGTGTCAAAATGGGCGAAGGTTGACGAACAAACATATTACTGCATTTGGGCAATTGTTTGATGACAAATCGTAGATGTGGGGGGGGGGCGGAGGAAGAGGCGAAGGAGGAGGAGGAGGACGACGACGACGAGCACGAGGACGAGGACGAAGACGAAAAAGAGGACGAGGACGAGGATGGGAGGAGGGGTGGAGGATGAGGAGGAGGAGCGAGGAGGAGGAGGAGGAGGAGGAGGGAGGAGGAGGGCAGGTGAAAAGGGGGAGGAGGAGGGAGGAGGACGAGGACGAGAAGAGGAGGGAGGAGAGGACGAGGGAGGAGGAGGTGGAGGAGGAGGAGGAGAAGAGGAGGAGGAGGTGGAGGACGGGGGAGAGAGGAGGAGGGAGGTGCAGGAGGAAGGATGCAAGGAGGAGGAGCAGGAGAGGTGTAGGAGGAAGAGGAGGTGGAGGAAAGGTGGAAGAGGAGGAGGAGGAGGCAGGAGGAGGAGGAAGAGGGAGGAGGAGGAGGAGGAGTTGGAGGAGGAGTGAGGTGGAAGAGGAGGAGGAGGATGAGGATGGCGGCGAGTGAAGGAGGAGCAGGGTGCGATGCTGCTGATCAGGTGGTGGGGATGATGATGGATGATGATGATGATGATGATGATGTAGAGATGATGATGATGATGATGATGATGATCGAGATGATGATGATGATGATGCTGATGCTGATGATGATGATGTATGATGGTGGTGGTAGGTGATGGTGGTGGTTGTTGGTGGTGGTGTGGTGATGATGATGTGATGATGATGATTATGGATGTGATGATGATGATGATGATGGATTATTGATGATGATGATGTGATGATGTTGATGATGGATGTTGTTGATGAATGAGATGTTGATGATGATGATGATGATGATGATGATGATGATGATGATGATGATGATGAGGTGATGATGATGATGATGCTCATGTGATGATGTGGAGTTGATGATGATGATGATGATGAATGATGATGATGATGGATGATGCTGATGACGATGACGATGATGACGATGATTATGATGATGATGATGATGATGATGATGATGATGATGATGATGATGATGATAATGACGATGATGATTGTTGATGATGATGATGATGCTGATGATGATGATGATGATGATGATGATGATGATGATGATGATGATGATGATGATGATGATGATGATGATGATGATGAGGATGAGGAGGAGGAGGAGGAGGAGGAGGAGGAGGAGGAGGAGGATGAGGATGACGATGAGGATGAGGATGAGGATGAGGATGAGGATGAGGATGAGGAGGAGGAGGAGGAGGAGGAGGAGGTGGAGGAGGAACAGGATCAAGAGGAGGAGGAGGAGGAGGCTAGGCTACGACAGGCCAGCCCACAGGGCCAGCCTACTCACATCTGCCTGACAGTGCGTTTTCAGCCAGCCGCCATGACCTTTAGAAGGTGCACTGGGTCCGTGGTTAACCCGGGAAACTATTTCAATCAGCACGGTGCCCCAGGTCCAGGTGGTTCGGGGTAAACCCAAGACCCCTGGGTAGCAGCCCAAGAATTGCCAATGCCCGTAGCCACTCGCTTGCTTCACCGCACATCAGGCCTTCTATTAAGGGAATGTCACATCCCAATTCATATAGACTCCAGACGCCTACTATTGTTGCTTACCCTGCTGCTGTGCCACGTGACCAAGGCGACACCACCAGGCAAGCAGAGCTACTACTCCACGGCCACCCGTACATCTCTTTCTGTATCCCCACAGGCTTTGACAGGCCAGCCCGCAGGACCAGTTTATTAATTTATTTGCTATGTGACAGCGTGCAGTACAGCCAGGCACACTCTGACTCTTGGGAGGGGACTATTAGAGGGGGAGGAGGTAGCGGGCGCGGCCACCCGTACATTTCTTGTTGCAGCATGTTTGCACTAGCCGTGCGAATCTGCAAGTTTGTACCTCTACAGGCCATGACAGGCCAGCTCGCAGGGCCAGTCTATTACCTTAACTGTTGCCAAACAGCGCGCAGCACAGCTAACCATCAACTTTTGCATGACAGCACGCAGCACAGCCAACATACGTTTGTTGTTTCGACAAGAGCGAAGTGCTAGCTAGTCTGTACGGCAGCCTCCTCCAATCATTTACCTTTTTGCTAGCCCGTGTCTACTGGCATGGCAGGCATGCCCTCAGGGCCAGCCTACACCTCACAGCTTGCTGACAGCGCGCAACTCATCCAACCTCGCTCTAACCTTGGCTATGGTAGCGGAGGGCGGCTCTGGGCGGGAAGGAGATACCAGAATCGGTGTCAACCATAATCCTGCATTTTTCAGTTTCGCATCTTAATTTGCCGAGGCGACACTCACCATTAATCCGGAGGCTCTCTACGATTGAGGTTATCCTTACTGGGAGGATGAGGAGGTGCTGATCCACTAATGTGTGTGGTGCGTGTGGTGTGTGTGTGTATGTGTGTGTATGTGTGTGTGTGTGTGTCGCCCTTTTACCTGACGGGCGCCTACTCTCATTAATATATATTATTCCGGGTTGTTGCTCCCTCATTTCCCGCGACGTCTGCCAGGCACTGTAACCCGAATCGGTTCATTGTTTGAGTTCCTGTAAAACCGCGGCAGGTTATTTCCTCACGCTGGTACCACGAAAAAGAAAAAGGAGAAGGAGGACGACGACGCCGAGGAGGAGGAGGAGGCGGATGATAATGATGAGGAGGGGGAGGAGGAGGAGGAGGAGGAGGAGGAGGAGGAGGAGGACGAAGAGGAGGCGGAGGAGGAAGAGAAGGAGGAGGAGAGGAGGAGCAGAAGGAGGAGGAGGAGGAGGACGGTTGGAGAGGCGGAGGGGACTGAAGAGGAGGAGGAGGCGAAGGAGGAGGAGGAGCACGGTTGACGAGGCGGAGGGGGCTGAAGAGGAGGAAGAGGAGGAGGAGGAGGTGGTGGGTGGAGGAGGAGGAGGTGGGGAGGAAGAAGAGGAGGAGGAGGTGGATGGGACGAGAAGGATGACAAGGAGGAGGAGGAGGTGGAGTAGGAGGAGAAGAAAGAAGGAGAGGAGGTGGAGGAGGGAGGAGGAGCAGGAGGAGGAGGAGGAGAGCATGAGGATGGGAGGAGGCGGTGGGCGGAGGAGGAGGAGGAGCATGGAGGAGAGGTGGAGAGGAGGAGTAGGGTTGAAGAGGAAGAGGAGGAGGAGGAGGAGGAGGAGGAGGAGGAGGAGGCCCCGGCCAGCAGACCCCTCCCCCTCTGGTGGTCCCGCTGTGTCAGACAGTCGGCCACCCCCGGAGGGGCCGCCCAGAAGGAGGAGGAGGAGGCGGAGGAGGCGGAGGAGGAGGAGGAGGAAAAGGAGGATGAGGAAAAGGAGGAGGAGGAGGAGGAGGAGGAGAGGAGGAGGAGGAGGAGGAGGAGGAGGAGGAGGAGGAAGAGGAGGAGGAGGACGAGGGAAGAGACGAGGGCAGGAAAACGAGGAGGACGAGCAGGGAGGAACCAGTAAGGGAGGACCCCCCACCTTCGAGGTCACAGCCTATTTTGGGCCACGCACCAACGAGGAGGTAACGTGCCAGAGGCCTTCGCTTATAGAGTGACCTCGCCTTCCCCCTCTCCTCCCGGCGACGACTGCTGCGCGTACTCGGGGGTTGCTCGAAGTGGTCCTCGCCCAATGCGTCCCCAACTCTTTGTGCAACCTTGGAGCTCCTGGGGCCCGTGCTCTGGAAGCCAAGCAGGCCTCCCAGGCAGCCTGGCAACACCACAGGGTCAGGGACGCCTTTGGCAACCCCTAGTGTACGCCCCCCTTGCAAGCCACGCGGCGCCGGGAGCTCGGCCTCCTCCCGACCGCCCGGCGCAGCGTTGGCGCAGCCGCCGCGGCGCGTCCCGCGCACTCGCGAGCATGCGCGGCCCTGGGGGTGAGATCGAAGTGGAACGGAGAGCCCCCCTACCGGGAAATTGGTTTCGGTTTTGTGTTCGTGCGTGCCGTGCGTGCGGGCGAGGCGAAGCTGCGTGGGCGGGCGAGAAATGTCCCGCCTCTGACTGAGGCGCGGCCGGACCAAAAAGTCTCCATTCCGGCATCCGGTGGCGCGGTGTCCCGCCGGTGTCCCGCCGGTGTCCCGCCGGTGTCCCGTCGGTGTCCCGATGATGATGATGATGATGATGATGATGATGATGATGATGATGATGATGATGATGATGATGTTGATGATTGATGATGATGATGTTGATGATGATGTTGATGGTGATGGTGGTGGTTGTGTGATGGTGTGGTGGATGATGGTGATATGGTGATGATGGTGATGATGGTGTTGGTGATGGTGATGGTGATGGTGATGGTGATCGTGGATGGTTGATTGATGGGTGGATGATGAGGATGATGAGGGTGATAAGGAGGTTGTAGAGGGATTAAGAGGATAATGTAGGTTGATGTGGAATGATTCGTTGTTGATGATGATGATGATGATGCTGATGACGATCTCGATGATGATGATGATGGCCATTGTGGTGATGATGGCGTCCCGATGATGATGTTGATGATGTTGATGTTGCTGATGATGTTGATGATGGTGTCCCGATGATGACGATGATGCTGATGATCCTGAAGATGTTGATGATGAGATGATGAGATGATGATGATTGAGATGATGATGATGATGATGGTGTCCCGATGATGCTGATGATGATGATGAGGTTGATGATGATGCTGTTGACAATGCTGTTGATGATGATGATGGTGTCCCCTTGATGAAGATGATGTTGATGATGATGACGATGGTGGTGTCCCGATGATGATGATGATGATGATGATGATGATGATGAGGTTGATGATGATGAGGATGATAATCAGGTCATGATGATGATTTTGATGGTGGTGGCCCGATGGTGATGATGATGCTGATGCTGATGATGATGATGGTGTCCCGATGATGATGATGATGATGATGATGATGATGATGATGATGATGATGATGATGATGGCGCCGATGATGATGGTGCCCCGATGATAATGATGATGATGATGATGAATGATGATGGTGATGGTGTTGATGATGATGATGATGCTATGATGTTCTTCATGATGATGATGTGATGATGATGATGATGGTGGCGTTCCGATGATGATGGTGTCCCGATGATGCTGTTGATGATGATGGTGCCCCGATGATGGTGCCCCGATAATGGTGATGATGGTGATGATGATGGCCATGGTGGTGATGATGATGGTGCCCCGATGATGATGATGTTGATGATGCTGATGTTGCTGATGATGATGATGGTGCCCTGATGATGATGATGATGATGTTGATGATGTTGATGATCATCATGATGTTGATGATGGTAAGATGATGAGATGATGATGATGAGGATGATGATGATGATGATGATGAAGACGGTGTCCCGATGATGATGATGATGATGATGATGATGATGATGATGAGGTTGATGATGATGTTGTTGATGATGATGATGATGATGGTGATGATGATGATGGTGTCCCGATGATGATGTGGGTGATTATGATGACGATGCTGGTGTTCGATGATGATGATGATGAGGATGAAGATGAGGCGATGATGATTTTGATGGTGGTGGCCCGATGATGATGATGATGCTGATGATGATGATGGTATCCCGACGACGGTGATGATGATGATGGTGATGATGATGGTGGCCATGATGATGGCGTCTTGATTGTGCTGATGATGTTGATGATAATGTTGCTGATGATGATGAGGGTGTCCCGATGGTGATGGTGGTGACGATATTGTTCATGATGATGATGGTGATGATGATATTGCGATGATGGTGGTGGTGTTCCGATGATGATGATGATGATGATGATCATGATGATGATAGTGTCCCGATGATGACGTTGATGATGCTGATGGTGACGATGATGGTGTCCCGATGCTGATGATGATGGTGATGATGATGATGATGTTGATGCTGATGATGATGGTGATGAGGTGATGATAATGATGATGGTGTCCCGATGGTGATGATGATGATGATGATGGTGTTGATGACGTTGATGACGATGATGTCGATGATGATGCCGTTGATTGTGAGGTCGATTGTGATATCGATAGTGGTATCGATAGTGAGATCGACTGTGAGATCGATAGTCATATCGATTGTGAGATCGATCGACTGAAATAGATCGAGTGATATCGATTGTGAGATCGATCGAGTGAGATCGATCGAGCGAGACCGACAGTGAGATCGATAGCAAGATCGATAGTGAGACCGATCGAGTGAGACGTTGGTTCCTCCCCCCCCCCCGAACCTCTTTATCACCCGAAGGGTGGCCGTATAGGTATTATTTACGCCCTGGCCAGGACAGGGATGAGTCGTCCCAGAGCGTTCTGGAACGCTCTCAGGGCGTTTCGGAGCGCTCTGGAACGGCTGCGGCGCACGATGCATCCTCCAGAGCCGCCGAATCTCAGAGATCCCTGATTTATCCCAGTTGTGAGGACGCGGGCGCGGGGTGGGTCGCCAGTGGGTCGCGGGGTGGGTGGCGGGTGGGACGAGGACCACCACTAACAACAACAAACAAGAGCAAAGAAGCAGAGATCGCGCCGCCGAATCCTACTTCAGCCATTCACCCAGGGATGGTGTAAGACCGTTCATCTACGTCACTCTGATTAGTATTGATCTTAGCTATCACCCTATAAGTTTCGCGACAATGCTTGGGAACCGATCCTTCATACCGTCGTCTCAACATGTCCAAATGTCAATGCAAACAATGCCCACATGGGGTAGCGGTTGTATAAACAATGACAGAGCATCACCATGTATTATTACTGTACGCAATATTTTGCTCAACAGCTAAACGAGCTTGCGATCGCAAACCTGAAGCATGTTTACCAGTCCCATCTGATTATGCTCGTGCCACTGTTGAGCAAATCTTCGCCCGGAAACTATAGCAAACAAGGTTGGGTCTCGGGATGTTTTCGGTGGGTCTCGGTCTCTGGCCCGTGGAGCTTTCGACCTCCGTATTGGATAGTTGTTGATCGACTCGGGCACGGGCACCACCCCTTGAACGCAGAACTTTGCGAATGTATTTTATTTGTTCGAGTCGAAGCAACTGTGGGGACCCTTGTCGAAGCGCTGATGTTTGACGCTCGGAGTCCTAATGCGCTAATGCGCTCTTCGCGTCGTCAGGGCGCCAGAAGCTTGCGCCCGGCCGCGCTGCTGTGTTTTATATGTTTGGTAGTGCTGCTTTCTTGTGTGCTTTTTCTCCACCTCACCATCGCACTCCTCTGCCCTAGATCGTTGGCGATTCGGCATCGCGTTGTAGTGATTTTGTCATGTTCGGCGTCCAGGGGCCACTTCTGGGCCCCGGCCCGTGAGATAGCAATTCTGATCGACAAGCTTGCCGCAGGGAAAGGAAGGGCAACTCTGCGGACACCTCAGGTCCCAGAGTAACCTCGACATCGGCCAGAACCTGGGACCATGAAAACCCGATATGGGGTGAAACGCCAGCCCCCAGCCAGGGAAAAGACCGAGAGTTTCTGAAGCAGTGATACCAATCTAAGTATTCTGAGGTTTCTGGGGAGCTCTGGAGGCCTTCAGAAGCTTCGGAGGCCAGACAAGCCAAAGTTAGGTGGTAACCTGGATCCTCGATCCTCTGGCATGATCGTCAACTCTGATCGTTCGCCTAATTCTCCAGGCCTCCCACATGGGGCCAGATTCGATGGGGTCGGGACATCGCTACGTATCGCCGAAGCATCGGCGATGCGGCTGGATGTGGAGCCCAATGCTCTTACGCCGACGTTGCCGATGCATCGTCGACGTTGCCGAATGCATCGGCGATCTTCCGACCCCATCTACTCAGACCCCATTTCGGAGGCCTTTGAATTCGTCATCGTGTGCCCTCTCCGCCCCAGTCTCCCAGGATGCTTCCTATGCCTGCGCCGTGGGAGGTTTTTCCACTACCGCCTACTCTAAGCCTCCTCGGCTTGTGATTCGATGATGGCCGCGTGCTGGGTCCTGACCTGGTCACCCCGCCTGGCATGCATCGAGGGCGTCCAAGTGGGGGGTGAGGACGTGTCTGGGTATCAAGGCCAGGGCCATGATATCTCTCAGATTTAATGGCTCCATTTTTTACAATGAGTCCCCTGACCTTCTCTCGTCCGCGCACATGCCTCGGGCCATAATGCGTTCACCAGCGTCCTGGCTTCTCTTTCGGCGCACCCGAATGCAGACCCTGTGTGTTGTTTCAGTTCAGCGATCTGGTTCCAGAGATGCACGACGAAGACCTGAGATGCAAGGATTATTGATCCGACGGAATCCGGTGCACCAGCACTTCGCAGTCCTTCAGTTCACAGGTCCTCGCCTCCCAGGTCGCCACAGTGACGCTGAGGGATCAGATCGTTGAATTGAAGAATTCTAGACGCTTCGCGTATCCCCACCAGCTCTTACTCTCGCCCTCTGGACTTTTCCTTGCGGGCCGCTAATCAAAACAAGTATCCCCACCAGCGCCTTCCGTCGGACGCTGTGATTCCATCCTCGTTCCGTCCTGTCCCAGCCGACCAGGCAGATCTACGCCGTCGACACGGCCCCGGCCCAGCCGACCTGGCTGGTCTACGCCGTC